ATTCGTTGAAATGGAAATTGTCAGTTTTAAATTCTTTCATTTTTACCGGCTTCTTTCTTTAATTAATGACCTGTATTCACATCATTGTTTTTGTAATATTTTGTTAAAGTTGTTAAGCTCAAATATTTAACGATGTAAGAGGGGAATCTCTATGAGTATTCTGTAGTCGTGGAACTCATAAGGAACTTACTCAAGCATTAATTCAAGAATTAAGATTTATCAGAAAATTCAAATAGGAAAACCGTGATATTTTCACGAGTATTCATACATAATTTCCTATTAATCTGCTATAAGGTTAGAGCAGTAGGGACCGAGTGATCTGGTTTCCAAAATCATCTTACAACCCATCGTCCTACAATAAAAAGCTTACTACACAATTTTGTTTATGAGGTAAATAAAACGTTTGAAAAAATTCGAAAGAAATCGAACTTCAATTATCAAGAATAAAAATACATAGACATTACTGGATGCTAACTATGCATTGTTTTTCACGTTTTATAATTCCTCTAAGAAAGAAATATCAGAATTACTAAAATATAAAGTAAATAAAACCAGAATCGGCAGGCGGGGAAATCAGTGCTGTTTGATATTAGTCTTCAACGCGGTTATCATTTTTAATGATATCATCTAAGGCATTCCAATGTTCAAGACTGGTTAAATGCTCGTTTTAAAGTGGCACAATGAAATTGTCTTTGTAGTTTATTGACTCAGGACAAAATTTCTGAAGGCAAAAATAAAAAAAATGTAGAAACCTTTGGTTGCATTTGCGCTTAAAGCCGTCCATACTTCGTGCTGAGTTGTGGATAATTAATCCTCTCCGTCTAAATAAAGGCACAGGATGAGAGAAGTTTCTTTCGATTGCCCGCTGGCGACCGGGCCATACATAAGCAGATTTGTTTGCAAGAATGGCAGACATCAATCATTACTTTTATGCTTTAAGTAATCAAATTAGTTTGTATTGTCAGAGAAGCAAAAGGAAACTCAAAGGCTTTATATAAAAAGCACAAAAAAGAGATTTCAGATTCCGAAATGATCTGCATATAACATTGGAATGCAAACATAGAAATATTTTTGCAACTGACGGATATTCTATAGAATGAGATTGTCCGCTGAAAAGTATTTAAAATTTGTTTTATTTAATTAATTTACTTTTTAACAACTGATGAAAAAAGAAATTCTTAAGGTGCTAAGCTGTTTGTGTTAGGAGGTTGTGGTAAAATATCCCAAAACATTTAAGCGGTTCTCAACCTTTTTTGCCAAATGCACCCTTTTTACCACATGTCAGAATGTCATTCTCCCACTCCCGACTCAAAAAGTGTATTCCAAATAATATGCATATATTATTGAAAACCTTAATTTTTTTTCCATATTAGGACATGATTTAGATGGGTTATTTTTATAGAGGAGTTTTATAAATCTATTAGCAATCGAAAATGTACATGGATTTTTAAACTTAAATACTTGTACTTAATTTTTTAATTTCATAACTAATTATTAAATAAGTAAACTGAAAAATACTTCAGTAAACAAAAAGTTCACTAGAATGCGAGATTATTGTAATTCTGTAAATAAAAAAAAACATGAAAAAGTGAAAGACCCCCCCCACCGCCCATGAAAGCCTGAAATCCTCTCGGGAACCCCCTAGTTAAAAACCTCTGAACTATTTGATAATCTCCTAATCTGGCTTTCTTTCCCCATTCTGAATAATGCTAATTTTTGTTGCTCGTAATTGTTTTTTTCTTCTCTCGTTCAAGATATTTGTCTTGAAGTTTTACTTATATCATTTATTTTCTCAGTTTGCCATGTTAACGAGCCTCATCGATACAGTACAGACATGTTTAATTTCTGTCCTCAGCACTTCAATATATGCGGTGTATTGTCTATAACGTTGACAAGTATTCAAAACTCAAATGTGTTCTTTCAATATTTGCTATTGCAAATAAAAGTACAAACGTCACATTGAACTCAATACGGATCACATGCACAACATGATTCAACATTGCTCAAATCTCTTCTGTATATTTGTTGTTATTAAATCTATATTTCTACCATTCCAGTTATCGATCCTCATCAGCTGTAATCTGTGGGAAGATGAATCAGTGAGTTAAAATTTATCTGATAGTGACGAATCGAACTAAATTCCAACAGACACAGCGACAGAAGCGAACAAATTATTATTAGAACTGCAAATTTTTAGAGTAAAAAGGAATGTTCTAATCTAAATCTTCTGACTTTATACAAAAAAATAATTACCTACCCTTACATATAAAGTGTCATGTAACAACCCCGAATTTGCGGTTATAGAATGCCAACCACAAGCAGTTCCAAACTGGCGGTCAAACAAGAGTTATCTCTCTTACTTTATCTCTCGCGTTTCAAGAGATAGCGACTCCACAAGATTATCTCAGACAAAATATTGTAACATTCAAGAATCTTTTTTCTTTACTTTGTTAGTATTTCTCTCAGCATATTATTCCCTGTTAATTTTCCCAAAATGCAATATAATAACGCCGCAACCTTCTAAGCTGAAGTAGTATAAGCACAGATATGAAAAATGTTAAATAAAAGAGAAATGGTGATAAAAAGATTATGCTGTAAAACTCTATTTTAAATACTCGGGTTTATTAGAGCCCGGATGTAGGTGGCGAATATGCTGTCATTAAACCTTCGTAGGCTGAGTTTGGCAGCAAAGTAAGAATGAAAGTGTCGTATACTAGAAGGAAAATGTTGCTGTTCAAGTAACCCTAAGTTTTTATGAATTCAACACCGGGAATAAGACAAGATACCACATCTCCAATGATATCAAAGCAAAAAAAAAAAAAAAGTCCAGTTATTAAAAGGAGATTAATAACAGATTACATCCTGACGGGACAAATATGAAGTCCGTGAACACTAAGGTAAAACCCCTTTCTTCGATAATTGCAAAAAAATTCTAATGCTAAGTAGCTATTACCTTCCTAGTCAAACTTGGTAGCAATTCAATAAGTCCTTTGAATTGGTAGAAGCAGGTATACCAGGTGTAAAAAGTATGAAGTTTTCCACCTTGCTCAACAGCGCCACGAAAACATGTAAATAAATATAATTACAATCTCTGCTTCAAATCCTGTGATTTTAAAATCTAAATCTGCCAAAAAAACAAACAAAACAAAGCATTCAATCGAATACAAATGCGTTAGTGGGAAGCACGTGACACACAATTCACAACGGGAACTGTTCATTACAACCTTCTTCATGAACACCGAAGATTAATATTTTTCCATCTACAAATATACGTTATACACACTTTATTACATCGCCAACTGTTATAAAATTTATACTTAAATACTCTAAGATATGTCTACCTACAACCTCAACCTGTATAACTTAAATGTTTTCACTCTTACATAAAATATCCCCAAATAAACATACGGACAAAAACCAAACATAGACGAAAAGGCCTACTGGACGCGAGCATATGCACTCACAAACCCACATACATACGCACATACATACACACACAAACGAATACACATTATCATCCGAACCCCGCACAGACAAACTAGAAATATGATACGCATACACACATGAGTTATACACACGAGAATTATACCCACGAACATTACTTGACAGGATAGATTAGGTTTGCTTAATCAATGAAAAAAAAACACAAAAATAAAAATTATAGAAGGTTCTTTTCTCTTTCATATTTAATTTTTCTGATGAAGCTTAAATAAAAGCGAAACATGTTAAATTTATAAACTTTTCTTATTTGTTCCTTATCCTATCAAACACTGACAACGAAATGATGAATGTACAACAAAATGTCGGTGTTGACAGAAAGCTGAAATAATCAAAACAAAAACACTTTCTTTCTCTAATCTGCAGATGTTTATTTTCAACGTTTTCTTTTGTAATTGGCAACTATTTATTGAGAGAGTGAATAATTTCTGTAAATGTTTCCTCATCCAAGAAGCTATCTCCTGATGAAAATTATACTTGTTATATAACAAAATACTGAACGTAATGCGTGGATATTCAATGTATATAAAAGAAGAAAAATCCATTGAACTCTTAATTTAATAATCTAATCCAATCTTCTAATTTTGCAGCATTTTCAAAGAGTCTATAATCAAAAATATTGTCCGACTTATTTTTGAGAAAAATATCGGCTAAATTTTGAAATAATTTTATTTCTTATTACTATAACCGTTATTTATTTCATGTTTGAGTTGTTAACCCGTTTTTTTTTTAATTAATAACAACCAAACTACATCCAAAAGTCCTATTAGTATAAGCCAATTATTAATATCACTGTTTAAAAAAACATGGATTTACGCAATAAAAATAACATTTATAGAAAAAAGAAAAATTATTATTAAAAAATCCATTAAAAAATAATTTCCCGTTAATTTATGAACGAATAATTCCATGTTTGCATCGAACAATAATATCGTCTGCATTATGAGTTTCTTATGCAAATGATCTAGAAAAAAATGATTAGTACATCAAAGTAAAGAATGCAAAAATAAATCAGAATAAAGCTAAACAATTTTAAATTAACTCAGTAACTTTTAACGATGAAATAGTTCAACTACGTAACTTCTATTTTTTAGCATGAGCTGCTATATTTAATAAATAATCTTCTGAGAAACTACATGATGTAAATACTAAATATAAAAAAGAACTGTAAAGAAGAGAAATGCGGAAATGAAAAGACTGTAAATGGCCAAGGGAAAAGAAATAGAAAGAAAAGTTCATCAAAGTAGATGATTTAGGACAGAAGATGACTTTTTCGTTTGACTAAAAATCAAAATGACGACCCAGTGGCAAAAACAATACCCCCGTCATGGCTTGCGGGTTTGTGCTTTTGGAAAATAGTTAGCGCCTTAAAGAAATAATATTATGAAATAAAAACAAAAATTTATTTCAGAAAAATGAGTTTATGAAAGAAAGAACGAAAACCGCGGCAAAATTATACCAGAGATAAAGTATAAAGAAAAAGGAAAAAGGAAGAAACTAACAGATGATAAAGAACGAAGAAAGGGAAGAGGAAAAGACAGCAGCATCAGAAGAAGAAGAAGAAGAAGAAAAGGAGATAGTAGAGATGAAGAAAATTACACAATAAAGAAGTAAGTAAAAAATATGCAAAAGTATTAACAGAAGAGTGATAAGGGTAAAAAATAAAGAAAATAAAAGGAAGAACAAGATGAATGACCACTGTTGAAATTGTTTTAAAAGAAAATATTACGTGTAATATTTTTAAAATTACTTCAAGAAAACTGAACGACAAAGACAAAAGAAATGAAGAAAATTTTTCCTTTTTTCCTCAGCTGTGAGTTCAAAGACTTATACATTGTCACGAACGAAGGAAGTGAATGAAGGAATAAATCAACAAAGTTCTGCGATGTAACATGGCCGCCGGGTAAAGTCAAAAAAACAATAAAACAAAACCAGAACAGGATAAAAAAGGAAGATTTTGCAAGAAATCGGAGGGAGATAATTGAGAGTTTGGTGTGAGAGAGAGAGAGAGAGAGAGAGAGAGAGAGAGAGATAGAGAAGAAGAAGAAGAAGAAAAAGAAAGACTGTAGCGGGAACTAACAAATGCACAGATATTAAATTTTCACAGGCGAATCGAGAATTTTTCAATCATCTCCAAAATGAAATAACTCATCAAAAGTTAAGGGAGGCATTTCCTAATTATTCAAAGTTGAAGCAACCTTACCAAGCCACGCACCTCAACTTGCCATCATCTTTCCTTCCTTCTTTATAGTATTCATTTCATACTCTTTCTCTCTTATTTTCTTTTCTCTTGTTTTCTTTTTATCGAATTTCTTTATCGTTATTCTATGTCGTTTCATTTGTTATATTCTACTTTATCTGACTAGTTTCTACGAAAAGCATTCTTCTTCATCAGCGATTTCAGAAAAGAAGGTAATCTATTAGTCAAATAGAAAATTATGCACAATGACAGAAAGAAAATACGATAAATAAAAATAGAAATGAGCAAATAGTTAGAAAGAAAGAAAGAAAGAAAGAAAGAAAGAAAGAAAGAAAGAATAGAAATCAAAACAATAAATGCGTTACTTATAAACATAAAAGGTTTGGAAAAGAAAGAAAGTAAGAAACAAACAAACAAACAAACAAAGAAGAAATACGAAAGTAAAAGGCAAAATTGATATTGAAAGAAAGAAAGAAAGAAAGAAAGAAAGAAAGAGAAATATTAACAATAAATGCGTTCAATTATAAACATAAAAGAAAGAAAAAAAAGAAAGGAAAAATACGAAAGTAAAAGGCAAAATTGATATTTAAGGAAAGAAAAAAGAAAGAAAGGAAGAAAGAAAGAAAGAAAAATGTTTCAAAAAATAAAATGTAGGAAAAATGCAAAGAAACTCGATGTGATTTCAAAATGATTAAGCGGCAAAAATACAAAACAAAATGGAATTTTAAGAAAGAAAGAAAAAAAAGAAAGAAAGAAAGAAGAAATACGAAAGTAAATGACAAAATTGATATTGAAAGGAAGAAAGAAAGAAGGAAAGAAAGAAATATATACGGAAGTAAAAAAGCAAAACTGATATTGAAAGAAAGAAAGAAAGAAAGAAAGAGAAATAATAACAATAAATGCGTTCAATTATAAACATAAAAGAAAGAAAGAAAAAAAAAAAAAAAAAAATACGAAAGTAAAAGGCAAAGTTGATATTTAAGGAAAAAAAGAAAGAAAGAAAGAAAAATGTTTCAAAGAATAAAATGTAGGAAAAAGGGAAAGAAACTCGATGTGATTTCAAAATGAATGTCAAAAAGATTAAGCGGCAAAAATACAAAACAAAATGGAATTTTAAGGAAGAAAGAAAGAAAGAACTGTCTCTACAACCAAGGGCTCACCCAGAATAATTCACACATAATTTCAAAGGATGGTGACAAATGCTTTATTGATTGATGTGTGTTTGTTTCTTTTCCATATTTCGACAAAGTTCTTTTTAAGTTTTCTTTTCTAATCGCTTTGTCATCAACTCCCTCTTTTATTTCCAAAATGTTAAGCCACCTTTGAAAATACCGTCTTAAATATTAAAGAAGATATTTAACAAATGAAATTCGAACTTTTACAATCATGCAAAAGAGCAGGTTGACAAAAAAGAGGTTAAACCAAAAACCAGGAAAATCTGCTACAACATCTATAACCTTGAATGCAAAGCAAAAGTGTAATTTCCAGTAACTTTGCTAATGTTTCTTTATAAGGAGACAAAATTAACGTATGAAAACAATTCATATATATATATATATATATATATATATATATATATATATATATATATATATGTGTGTGTGATATTTTGTGTTATGTTTATTTTTAATATTTCGTTTACACAAGTTTTATTTGTCCGTCAACGACACGATTAGGGAAGTTATTGTTGATATGTATTTATCTGTGTCTATCTCTGAGATGAGGTATTTGATTGTTTGCATTATTTACATTATTCTGACTGTTATCCTCATCTTCATTGCCATATTCACAACGTTTAGACCGTTGTACGCCCCAGGATTCTTCAGGTGACTGGAATTTCGAACCTAACTCTTTATTTCGTCCACCGGGGTAGATTGTTTTAGTTCCATGTGTCATACCTCTTTTTAGTGTCTCAGTTATTTCCCTTTAACTCAACTCTCAAAGTTTTTTTTTTTGTTCACCACTTGTGGAGCCTGGTATTGAACTCAACATTCTTTGAGTCTAGTTCAATGCCAGGCTACAGCAGTGGTGGACCAAAACTTATGAATTTTACATACGACCGCGTGAATGGTAATGGACACAGGACTGCACAGCCGTATCAGATTGCGTACCCAACCGAAGGCAGCCGAGTCATCCAAACTTTACTACTGTTTGTCATCGCGTTGCTGAGACAGGATTCGTGGAACCACAATTGATGGATGGAGGAAGACAGATCTCCACTCGTACGCCTGTCCACGAAGAACACATTTTACAAGCTGTCGGGGACGATCCAAGTATCAGCACACGTCAAGTGGCCCTAGCATGTCGTACATCTTATAGTACCGCATGGAGGTTACTTCAAGAGCAGCTCCTGTATCCGTATCACTTGGAAAGTGTTCAGGTTCTTTCACCCTCTGATCACTCATCACGGGATAACTTTTTCCGATAGTTTATTGTATAAACTGCAAATCAGTTGTTTGTCGCTTGAGGCTTATTTACTGACAAGGCTAAATTCGGAAGAGGTGGAATAACAAATTTACACAACCATAATTTGTGTGGGAATCGGAACCCCCATGTTACAATAGAGTCTAGACACCAGCCCCAGTTTACGATGTTTCTGCAAGAGTTGTTGGTATCTGTCTGGTAGGTCAATATGTCCTCCCAGCTCGTCTTACAGGAGATGTCTACAGGGACTTTATTTCTAACACACTTCAAACGTTGTACCCCTGCTAATACGAAGATGCATGTGGTCCATGCATTTAATTTTTGTAAATTTATTAACGTTGTTGTTTTAGTTATTTAATATAATGTTATGGTAAGATATCGAGTTTTCGATGTTTCTAACGCATCTATAGCTGATCTTTACATTATTTTTGTTAAACATCTTCTTAAAAAATTGCAGAATGATTGAAATGTTTATGAATTAAATTTGGGAAAAATTGTTCCAATATTTGTTTGAACATTTCAATTATAAGATGATGGGGTTTAAGCCATAACATATTACAGTGTCTCTGTTTAATTTGACGTTTATTTTTTTTTGTTTTTTTTTTTTTTAAATATTCTATATTTACTTTATGTTCGCTTAGTTCTTATGCTTTTATATATTTAATTCTATTTTTATCAAATATTTCCTTAGTCCTGGAGTTAGTAGATAATCTAAATTGAATGGATTTATGCGAATTATTTGAAATTGAAAGTACGTGATTGGATTCATTGTTAACGTATATATTATGTAAATCTTTGGTATACGGTTTGTAATAAACAGTACATATGATCAAAGAAAGTCGATCACTTCAGCATTGATGGTTGTGATAATATTTATTTCGTGTTCTTTCAAGAATATAATCAGTTCCCTTGTCGATCGATCCATACTTCTTAGACCTGTTTTATGGAGGAGAATTGCACCTTCATCTCTGTAGAGTTCAGTGTCTTTAATATTGAAACGCTTTGCCACAATAACAAAATTCCAACTAGCTCTCATGCCTGGGCAGAATCAAAAGAACCCATTTCAATATTTTTCGCTTAGTCCACAGACAACCATTATGCTATAACATAGGTTTTTGCGCCTGCGTTATCATTTCGATCATTATCGTTAATTGGGAATTATTCTTTAGCTTAATTGATGGTAGACATTAGTATATCTTCTATGATATACGGGTAAAAATGGAATTGGCTGAACGTAAATTCGTTTTTTTTTTTATATTATTAAACCATTCTATGGCGTCTACTGTATTATACCACTGGTTAATTCCTAGGGTATCTTTCGTATATTTGCACGTTCTTTCAATGATAATTTTACTAATTTTAAAAATATTATGTTTAGTTAGAATGCCATCACATCATAACAATATTATATTGAATAACTATATTACAAAAAAAAAAAAAACAACGTTAATAAATTTACTAAAAATTAAATAAATGCAACTGCCAAAAAGATACGATCTGTCCCAGAATTGGCTAATGTATGACTGAAAATATTGTATACCGAACTAGCATACATATTCACAGCAATGTCAAATTCTATATTGGTCCACTGAAAATCCTCAGAAATTTCGTTGAATGAGTTCAGGTAATGTAAGATACATTAAAGAATAGTGTGAATACCCCTATAATTACGTTAGATATAATAGCTAAAACTAAATCTTACAATGGAAAAGGGAATAGATATAATGTAAGCTCTGTATAAATGGTAAAATACTTAAATAACCCTAACTTATTAAACAAGAGATATGAATTGATAGCTCCATGTAAGTATAAAAATAAATAATGTTAAACTATATATATATATATATATATATATATATATATATATATATATATATATATATATATATATATATATATATCATTGTTATAGGTACTTTTTTAAATACAACTACTCAGCACCTGAAGATTACATTAAGCTCCAAGTCGTTACCACCGGTGAGGAAAAATATATTTAATAATATATGCTTAATAACTCTGTTATATAACATTGAGGACTATTTTATTAACACAGCACTCAACATGCGATATATATATATATATATATATATATATATATATATATATATATATATATATATATATATATATATATATATATATAAAAGACAAAAGGAAAACCTTTCTTAGCCACAGCGTTTCATCTTTTCATATCAAATATATGTATTTTATTTTCTTAAAAATTTTAAAATTTTAAAATGTCCAAAATATTCTTTAGTCTAACCGTAAATGATAAGGTAAACTATGAAGCATACATAAATGACATAATTTAATTTAGTTCTTAATTTTTAAGTTTTGAATACCTGTTTATATCTGTTTACATTTGTTTATAAATACATGTTTCAGATTAAAATCCTTACATTTGCCTTGATAAAGTCTATCAGAAGACATCAATCAGAAGATGGCTATGCTATCTATATATAGAGGAAGATGCTCCGAATCGGTGATACATCGTTTATAGACTATTTGGACATAATAATTTTTCTGAAAATCGCCTTGAACTGCCAGTCACCATGCAGTGTTTATTCCTATATGTACACACTCTCTCTTCATATATATATATATATATATATATATATATATATATATATATATATATATATAATATATATATATATATATATATATAAAAAAAAAGGAAAACATTATATACCAAAAATAATTTTAATTTTAAATTCCCAACATCCCCATTCGTGCGCATGTGTAATCGCTCCAACGT